TTGTATTATCATATTGAATTCAGTGAATTTTTTGTGAACAAAATAAAGAATAATTTTTCACTACATACAATTTTTCACCAAAAAATGAAATAAGTGCGAAATACGATGTTAACTGACATCTACCTTTCAACTCCAGGGCCGACATCGTAGTTCAGCTGGAAGATGCGAACACATTTAAACAAATAAAAATTACCGAAAAAAAAATTACCGAATCCTAATGGGGCTCATTTCAAAGCGTGGACCTACTTCTTTCATGTGACAATAATCCGTCCAATGAGAGCTCAAAATGCAAAATTCTTTGGGAGTACAATCAGTACAATACCAAATTTAAAGGGTGCAAAATAGTAGAGCGAATGGGACTTTTAGTAAGAAAAGGATTTCTATCCTTCCAAAAATACTTCCCAAACATTCAAGATACCTTAAATCGCTTTCGCAGGTCATGATATCGATCATAACTCACTGATAAGGGTGCAACCCGATTTCCTATTTATATAACCATCGTATGATTTAAGCTACTTATTTAAGTAAAGTCCCCACTTTGGAATATCCCAAGTCCACTTTCACATCTAATGTGTGGTCAGAAAAGAAAATTTTGTATTCTATTGAATTTGTAACCCCCAAGAGAATATTGGTAGGGCCACGTTTTGGTATAACCCTCATATGAATGTATCCCTGATTCCAGCTATGACTGTGGTCTTGGCCACGTATTTCAAATGATTTGGCCATTACTTGGCATCTTGGCTTTTCTATTTCTTGACCACATTTTCCAATCGATTTTGCTGTATTTAGGCTACTTTGTGAGTAGAGAACCATCTTTTAGAAAAATGTCAACATACGTAAATATGTTGATACAGTCCCGATATAATCCCCTGGGCCGCCGATCTATAGTGATTTTTATCGATTGGCAGACGACAACACGGGCATTGTTTAATCGTCATTGAATTTTATTATGAAAAAGAACATAGACTTTTTGGGGACGCTAATGCACAATTTGAGGTGCTATGGTAATGGGTGTAAAAGCGTAATTAACTTTGACTATTCAGAAATTATTTTGGTATTTATTTCTATTTAGTCGGATCAATATTTATATTAAAATTTGTTCACCTTTATGAGCTAGATTTGTGAAAGATTATGCTATAAAATTTGCATTACAGACTAAAACTACGGGCCGGCAACGCGGACCGGGCCAGCTAGTTTAATATATTTCCCTGAATATCGTTGTTACGGAGTGCATATTACGGCTGTGGGTAACAAATTTAACAAATCGGATGAACAGGATATAGCTATATCTAAACCGATCTTCACCAAATTTGACATACTTGCTTCTAGACTCAATTCGGTCGTAATTGCCAAATTCCATCCCATTTGGACAAATATTATACGTTTGGTGCACAATAAAAAGTAAATCGGTCGAAGTTTTATATGGGAGCTATATCTAAATCTGAAGCAAATCTGAAATTTGGCATACTTATTTTCAGGCCTAATTTGGTTGTATGTGCAAAATTGCATACTATTCGGGCTGATATTACACGTTTGGTGCACAATAAAAAGCAAATCGGACGAAGATATATATGGGAGCTATATCTAAATTTTTACCGATTATCTCCAATTTCAATAGGGTTCGTCCTTGGGCCAAACAAATGATTTGTGCAAAATTGCATCTGGATAGGACAATAAATCCGAACTGTACTTTGTTTACATGGACAGACAGACGGACGGACGACCACACGGACGGACGGACATGCATAAATTGACTCAGAATGTGATTCTATGCAGATCATTAAAAGGAACTATGGGTCTATCTCGTTTCCTTTTGCCTGTTACAAACAAATGCACAAAGACATAATACCCTGACCACCTTGTGGTTTAGGGTAAAAAAAATTTAAAAATTATAGCGTTTGTTTTTGTTGCAGCTTTTTTATCTCAACCTGTAGAAGGTGATACGGAACAGCCAGCTAGTGTCTTTTCTGATGCGTCGCTACTATATTAATGGATTCCTCGCAGATAGCCTTTAAATAGCAATAGAAAACAATGACTGAATTCGCGTTCTGTGCGACCTTATTAAGTTCACCTTGACTCGTTCCAAGTGTGTTTCGATCTTATAATTTAATCAACAATTGGAGAACAAATATAAAAGAGTTAAGTTCTCCTCTACATGAAAAAGAAAACCTTTTAAAATAAAAGTATTGAGATTCAAAACTAGAGCAAACTTCATCTGAAATTAAAAATTCCTGGAAGAAAAATGGACTTAAAGCAACACTGCTCAAGAACAAGTGCCCGCTCACCAGACAATTGCTTTTAGATATCATCAACAAACCAGTTTTAAAAAATTATTTATTTATTGTTAATTATTAGCTTCATTAACACTTTTGGCCCAACATCATATTTAAAAATTATATAATTTTTAGAATAGAAAGAAAAACAGATATTGAGTTTTGCCTTGTTAAGGGCGAAGATCATATGTTTTATGATTTATGTGTTTGTTTTCTCTTTCGAGACGAGCTTAATGATCAGGAATTTGCAGTGAAAAGAAAGCCAGATAGACACTATCACACACTCACCACTATGCGACGCGTTTCGCCGTTGGTTAAGCGGCTCATCAGGCATATTTGGTGTGGATGATGGCTTACAAGGGCCGTTCTCTGGAAAGTAGTATATATTTCGAACTTATTGCAAATTAGCATATGCGAATTATACACTAGAAACTCTCCAGGTTCGACTCAAGTTCTATTGGCAGATCTTTTTCACAGCAAAGTTTTGTTTTTGTAGTGATGGATTTTTTGTCCACAACAACTACATTGCTTCCAATGCATACACTTGTTTTAGTGCTGCTTTAGGAAGACGGGTTAATGGCTCTGAACATAGAGACGGCAACTTCTAGTTGGCTGCACACCGAGGTCCGCGGTTCAAATCCCACAGCCAGGCTCGGCTGAATTTTTGAGTTTTGCCTTGTTAAGGGCGAAGATATTATTTTTCTCTTAATATTTTCTTTTGCGGACTCATGTGGAAATACAGGGTTTTGAGCAGTACTGATTTAAGAGCGCTCGTTACCTTTTCATGGAGATTTATATACACTTCCAATGGTCATTAACAACTTTAAATAGAGAATTGCAAACAATTCATTTGAAAAAATTTAATACTAAATATCGGAAAGTACTGTTATATGGGGGATATACCACGTCAAGTGAGAATAAGAAGTACCATACAAATTCGTTATAAATGTGACGAAGATACGGTATCTCACACTCTAAAAAATTCTTTTTTTCAATTTGTTTCTTAATATTTCACAACTAACGTTCCTCGCATAATTTTAATTCTGGATATTGTTTGCTAATGGTATGTTCCAGAACTGCAAGAATGTAAAAGTTTTTACTACGATTACCGATTTTCCCTTTATGAAATCGGCAACAATGTATAAGGCGGAAGAAATTCAAATTTATATAAATTAAATGCTAATTTACAACAAGAATTAAAACAACTACATTTCTTAGGAGTCAAAAAATACTTTACACAAATCACATTTTTCCTTCAGTTTCTGCAGAAACTCGTCGAAAAACGGTTCATTATCGGTAGCTAAGTTTTGTGTTGCTCTCTTTTATAGCTTTACAAGAACTTTTATCGTAAATTGTCGTTGTATCGATAAAAATACGGTACTGTACCAAGCGGACCTAAATTTTATACTTTAAAGGAGTTTTCCGAACACAATTTAGCAATCCAGGGAGTAAAAGTGTAGAAAACTTATAGAAAAGTAACGCATAAGACTTATTTGCAAGAGAACAAGTTAAAAAGTACTAAGTTCGAACTGGTCGAACTTTGAATACCCTCCACCATTTGGAACGAATTTGGAAATTTAAAAAATAAAAATAGAATCCGTTAACAATTCTATTAAAACTTAAAAATACCGAATATGAGGAGTTACCTCTATTTTGGGTTACATACGAAGATGTGGACCTGCACAGGCAATTTTTTGTCACAGGCTGTAATACCTATTAGGAACTTCAACTACGAAATTTGAAACAATTCCGGTGAATAATGTCGCTAAATAAAGCAAAATACCGAATATACGGATGTACCGTTGTTATATGGGGGCTATACAAAGACCTGGGCATAACCAATTTTCTGCACAGACTGCAGTACTCATTACGAAATTTGAAATAATTTCGGAGAACAATGTAGCTGAGGTAGGTTGATAAAATTTTACTCAAATGTATGTTTCGTCTGCTGGGCTTTTGGTATTAAAATATATAGGTCCACGTTTAGTTATAGCCCCTATATTCAATAGAATAAACGTGGACCCATATATTTCTAATACCAAAAGCCCTGCAGACGAAACATACATTTGAGTAAAATATTATCAACCTACTTCAATAGAATTTTATGCTGAGCAAGAATATATAATAATAAGACTAATAATAATATAATAATAAGTCTAAAACAAAAGTTGCTAGATAAGCGACTAATCACTAGTTTTAACAACAAAGTCCCACAAATATTTACAGGCACGAATACCAGGGACCACTAATAACCATATAATAACAATTTTTTACCATAAATTGTGAAATTTTAAGAAACCAAATAAAAAATATGAATTTTTATAGTGCGTAAAATAATATGTGACATACTGTATTTAAAATGCCTAAAAGAATTTCTAGAGTGGTTCAGCATTTAATTAACAAATTTTTGTAAAAGTAAAGACTTCACCTTTAACATTTTCAGATCACTGAAGCTAATTAAAACAACGGCGAAAAACATTCGTTACATAAAAAGTTTGAATAAATTAATAGGATAATTCAAAATGTCCTGTGACGAATCTACACTTTCAAAGGGTCTAATGTATTCATCGTATTTTTTCCTCTTTTCAATTTTCTAATTTGATACAAGTTTTCAACAAACAGTTTCATATTGTTTACCACGCAGGATATCTAGGCCCACTTTAAATCAGTATAACCTCAGACGTGTTCACCAAAGATATGCAAACAATGAAGTAAAACAAATATCACTTGATGAAATTCAGATTTCGTTCACAGTTTATATTTAAAAAAAGGAAAAATTAAATTAAAAAAATATAAGATCTATAAAGAACACATACAAAACGTTTTCCTAATTCTCTGCACGTACATTTCTTTTAAACATTTGCGCATAAATTAAATTATACTTAAGACTAATGGAATATATAAGAAAAAAAAATAAGAACTATAAATACTTAAAAACAATACATTTTCTATTGTGATTTGTTTTGCTTTAACATTAAATATATTAAATTTTTGAAATTTATTTTTATTATTTTATATTTTTATATTACTGTTTACTTAAACTATTAATATTATATTTTAATATCACATCAACTTTGTTTTTTCTTTCATTTTTATATTCAGTTTGTAGGTTTTTTTTTATTTTTTGGTTTCTTTTTTTTTTTTTTTGCATTTATGTTCTAATATGAATTGAATGAATGCATATTTCATTCTTGATCTTCTTCAGGATCCTGATCCTTATCCACATATTCACAAAAAACATCATCATTGTCTCTTTTTTTTCATCTTCAATCATTCTTCTTCGTCTGCGTCTACTACAAAATAAAAAGCAAACAAAAAACATAAAATAAAATTAATAAGAGTTCGTATGAACAACTTAAGGCAAGTAGTTATTGATATTGAATCTTGGAAAATATTCTAGTATTAATTGAATTAATTTTGCAATCTGTATTAATTTTTCATTCTGTTTTGCATTCTACATATTTGCAATTAATTTTGGGTTACTGTTTTTGTTTAAAGTTGTATTTTTGTCCATAATTTTAGTATAGTTTTTATAACATACACCACTTCTAAGTCTTAAATTATTATAATTGTATTATTTTCGAAATTATTTAAAAATCGAATTCCTTTGTATTTAAAGTGTGTTTACATTTAGTGAATGCCGTGAATTGCAATTCCAATGCTGGGATGGAGAGTCAATTTCGTTTAACGTATATGCCATGGAATTGTCAGTTGATAGTCCACTCGATTTAGTAAGTGCAAACGTACTTTATGGAAACCCAATGTATGATTCCCTACACCCTATTGAATATATAAGGTAGCTATAACTACATATGAACTCAGTGGACTGCAACGAGTAAAGTAAAAATTCAATCATACTCGGTTTCTTACATGATTTTTGTTGATACAGTCATTTGGTTTAATCGATCGATGATCGTTTTCGCATCGGATCGAATCGAACGCTCAGTTTGAATCACTTCACTCACTATCGAACATGAGTGTTCGAGAGCGTTTGATGTGTTCAGCAACATGAGTAGATCGAACACGTGAATTGAAGTGAGCAATCACAACTGTGATTCAACCATTCAAACAAGTTGGGACAGTTTGTTTTGACTTTTATTATATTTGAAATGGAAGAATATTGTGATAGTAACTACAAACTGTGTTGTTAAATGAAAAGGTCGAAGTTTTGTGTGATAAATATTGACCAACATTGTAAAATAAATAAAAATATTTAAATATTGATGTGTTTCTTTATTAAAAATATTAATTTTTTTAGAAATAAGTCACTGAAGTCTAAAATACCAAAAAACGCAAATAAAATTAAAAAAAATATATCTGTTTATTAAATATAATTTGTACCAATTTGGAAAATGGGGCCAGCTTTTCGTTATGAAATCCTTAGTAAAATTACAATCATGATTTCGCTAAGACTCGAACATTTGTGTTTTAATCAAATTACTCACTTAACTAGGATGAATCAAACCGATCAAACTTATCATAGATGATCGCCCCGATATGAACAACTCAACATAAGTTCGTAAACAAATAAATCATGTGAGCTGTTTGATTTCGAAAACAAAGCTTCGATCAATTCATGTTCGCTCACAACTTTTTCGTTTCGCATGAGCAACTCGAATAAGCACGTTACATCTGACCGACTGTTTGAGTTTGATTGTATTTCCACTAAGTGTAATCGCTTAATCAGTCATTGAGCCCTCTGATATGAACCGATTTTTACCAAATTGACATATTTGTTTCTATGCTCAATTTGGGGGTAAGTGCCAAATTACATCCCATTTGGTCTAATATTACGCGTTTGGTGCACAATAAAAGGCAAATCGGACGATGATATATACGGGAGCTATATCCAAATCTGAACCGATCTCGATAAAATTTGGGAAAGGAATTTCTGTGCTGTATTTGGATATATATCAAATATCGTACGGAGGATAAAAAATATCAAATCGGATGAACAATATATATGGGAGCTATAGCTATATCTGAACCGATTTCGATCAAATTTCCAGGCTTAATTTGGTCGTATATGTAAAATTCCATACTATTTGGGTTGATATTACACGTTTGGTGCACAATAAAAGGCCTATGGGACGAAGATATACAGGGTGAGATGAAAAAACTGCAAAAAAATTCAGACTGCTGTCATTTCGAAGCTACACGTCCGACAACTTTTAAAATTATTCCAGTGACAGCTAATTATATTGTTTACAAGCGTACAAAAGCATTTTGGTGAGAATTTTCCAGAAAAAAAGTTTTTCGTGATGTAATTCAAGCGTGATAGTGTGATTTCTCTATCTTTGGCTGGAAACCCAGAAGTTGCTATCGTTAAAGCACTCCAGCATTTAAATGTTAATAAATCTGGTAGCGTAGTCCAACGTCAAGGAAGTGGAAGGAAGAAAACAGCAACATCAGCAGAAATGGTTCGAAAAGTAAATAAGCGACTTGATCGAAACCCGCGTCACAGTTGCCGAAAAATGGCTTGTGATCTGAACACAGCGCTATATTCCATTCGTCAAATATTGAAAAATAACTCGGGGTAAAGCCATTGAAATTCCAAAAAGGGCAAAAGAGCTAAAGAGTTGCTTCGATTGACCGAAAGTGATGAACTGCCGAATTTGGTTTTCTCCGATGAGAAATCATTCGTTGTCCAGCTGTTTGTAAACAAACAAAATGGTCACATTCGGTTGGCCACCAGAACTCATGCGGCGGCCTTGGTGATGGTGTGGGCCGCCATAACAGCCGATGGTCGCTCTCCGCTAGTATTAATCGACCGTGGCATCAGAATAAATGCCGAATATTATCGCGAAATTATTTTGGAGGGTGTATTAAAAAAAATACCAAAGTGTCGATCACCTCAAGCAAGCGCTTCGCCGGGAATGGGCCAAAATACCGCAGAGCAACATTCAGTCAGCATGTGACGGTTTCATTGATCGTTTGAAGGCCATAATTCGTGCCAAAGGTGACCAATTCGAACAAATCTAAACATATTGTAAATTTTGATAATTTTTCCGACATTTTTTCTTTCATTCAATTAAATTAAAAAAAAAATGTAAAAATTATTGCGATTGACTTTGTTGAAGTTTTTTTTTATCTCATCCTGTATATACGAAGATGTCTACCTGTAAAGATAATTTTCTGTCATAGAAGTGGTTTTCATTACGAACTCGAAATAAAAACTTTGAAAATGCTATCTAAAAATACATTTCAAGTTTTGATGAAGTTCTCGTATAGAGACCTCTATATTCGGAGAATTTTGACGGACGAATTTAAAAGAACATAATCGAATAGATATTCAATCACATTAAATGTTAATATTTGGCTATTAAAAATCAAAATGAATGGTGGGAAACGTCTAAGCCATTAATGCTCGATTGGTAACATGACAGAAGAATACAGGTAGATGCATAAACACTTGAGAGCATTGATATGTCAAATATGAGTAGATTTTTAAATGTTTTCTTATACGACGTCATTCGGAGGTTGTTATTATTTGCGTTTTTCAAAAATTTTTACAAATTTAAATAATTTTTCATTTAACATTTTCAATTCCAAAATTGGTTTGACAGTTCATTGTCCCAGCCGCTGTGCCGATATATCTACCTATATTCTTCTACCATGATTGGCACCCAAGTGCTATCTATCTATGGTAAAACAAATAAATTATGTTGACAATTTGCAATTATATTATATGTGGCAAAGCACTATATGAAAACCACAATTTTGTTTATTTACTACTACAATTTTTTTGGAATTTGAGGCTCATAAAAACCCAAGAGAGATGAGGTCTTTTGAGTAGTACAGAAGGTGGTGTATGTTTCAAACTTTGCTTTATTTTTATTGATATTGATTTGGTTTCTATTTCAATTTTTTATTAGAAATTTGCCGATAGTAAGACGCGAAAATGGATTTTATAGTTTATGTATGTGTAGGAATATTGCTAGTTTTTTCATTCTGCCTTAACTTTAAGTAAAATAATTCTAATGTTATTTTGGTTTAATGTATGCTTTTGAGTTATTTATAATTGTTTTTTGTTTTTTATATTTAAGATAAATTCAATTTAATTTACTGTCAATTGTTGTTGGTTTTTTTACTTGTATGTAGTTTAGACAAGAAAAAATAACGAGTCAGTCAATTTCATTTGAATTTTTTACAAATTTGTCATGTTGTTTTATTTTCAAATGTTTGTTTGTTTTTCTTTTATGGTACATATTAAAGCAAAATTTTTTATTTTTATGTAGGGGGGTATATATTTAGAAATTGTAAATTGTCCAGTTGATGTTTAGTTATTTTCTAAAGGTATTTTTTGTTTTATTGTTGGTTATTTATGTTTGTCATATTCATTGTTTTTTTGCAATTAAGTCAGTTTAAAAAGGGGGGAAAACTGTGAAATGTATGTGGTCCAAAGTTTGTTTTGTATTTCATCGCATTATAAAACTATAGTTGTAAAATTATTTATATCTAGATTATACATAATATGTACGAAAGTATGTGCTATGCATGTATGTAGCTTATTTCTGTTCCCCAAAATGTTTTATAGTGAAGGGTGTGTATGTACGTATGCGAAACTCATTACTTAGTTATGATTTTTTTGTTTTGTTTGCCTCATTTTACATCATCACTGACTTTGTCAAATATAATACTCAAATATACAGTATTCATTCAGAAAGACTAAATGAAAATGTATAACAATTAAAAACTAAACTAAAAAACAACGAAAACTAACCATTATTAATTCTTCTTAATCGGAGGGAATAACTATTGGTTCATATTTTTATCATTTCATTACTTATGCTAATCTAACTAACACAATTGACACGCCCCATGTTAATTTTTGTTTTCGTCTTTTTTTTTCAGTAAGATTTTCTTAGTTTTCACTTTTAAAGATTTTTTTGTTTAAGTTTGAAATCACATTTCATACATTTAATATGTTTTGGTTTTACTTCTTTGTTTGTTCGATTTTCCTTGTTTAACATTTTGTCATATATAATTATATTTTTGTTTTTGTTGTGGTTGTTTGTTGTTAATATTTATGATTATTTTGTTTTTGTACATTTTAGGTGGATTTTTTCTTTATATTATATCATTTTGTTTGTTAAGAGAGAAAGAAAGAGAATTTCCTACTCACAGGCATAAAGCTTATGTTTATTTAATGTAAAATGTGGACTTATGAGTATGGTACTGCTGCGTGTTAGATTCCTGTTCAAAAAGCAAAGAAAAGAAAAAAATTAATATTTTAGAGTAAATTGATCATTGATACTCACTTGAGAAATTGTGGCAATAATGAAGTCCAGCCGCCCTTGTCTTGTTTTAGTGTTAAAAACAATTCAAATGTGGATACTGTATTTGGATCAATTTTGAAAGATGCAATGCGCCTGCAAGAGACATGAAAGAAAAATAAAAATTCATTAATATCAGCAATAATTGTAGTAAGAAACACATGAAAACTAAAAAAAATAAATTTTAATCGTTTTCAACATATTTTTATATCGTCCACCCTGAAAAAGAGGGTACATTAACTTTGTCATTCCGTTTGTAACATCCCTAAATATTCATCGGAGATCCCATAAAGTATATACACTGGTGGCCAAAACTAAAGCAACTGAAATCGCAAAATAAATGTCCTGTAACTTTTACAAAAAAAAAAAAAAAAAAAACAAAAAATAAAAATACAAAAATAATTTTGAATGAAAAATAATATATGGAAAATTAAAATGACCCAATTTTTGCTTGGTCAAAACTAAAGCAACTTTTTGATTTTTTATTTTGAAATAATTAAATTTTTGCTAGTAGTCGAAAGCGTAGCCATTATTTTTGATAGCAGCTGCACACCTACGAGGCATTGAATCTATAACACGCTCAGTTTGATCCTTGGGTATGCTTTCCCAGGCACCCTGAGTTCTTTGGAAAATGTTGTGTTTACTTGTTTCCGTGATTGGGTCACGACAAAACACCGATTTTTGACTCCCGCAACCAATTTTTGACAAGTTTTGATGCATGTTTGGGATCATTGTCTTGCTGAAACACCCAAATAAGCTGAATATTTTCCTCAGCGAAAGGGAACAAGGTGATGTCCAACACATCTTTGTAAACAAACCGATCCATAACTTCCATTATTTCATGACTGTGCCCAGGTCCATAGAAAGAAAAACAGCGTCACACCATTCTTGACCCTCCCTCATGCTTCACTGTACCCTTGCAACACTGTCGCTCGAGTCTTTCATTTTTTGGTCTTCTCACCGCCTGAAGTTTTTCACGGCCTTCATCCGTTATAGACGGTTATTACTGACCCAGTTACATAAAACCGACTTAGTATACGAATATTTCTCGGAAATTATTTTCTGCGATAGCTTGTTTTCGTAGTCACCGATAATTTGCTGTTTCTTTATAAAGTTTATATAAATGTTTGTTGGCATTTAAATGTACACTTTTCACAATAGTTTCGGAAATAAAAATGTTTAAAATATGGAACGGGAAAAACTTTGAAAGACATTGTGAAAGTGTAGATATTTGTAATAATTCAATATTGGATTTTTGTACATGGGTATGACCATGGTACAATGAATTCAAGGTAGGGCAGAACTACCATCCCAACATACCAAAAATACAATACAGCTTGAGAATAATATTATGAAAATAGTTTATCGTAAGAATTCCTCAACAATGCTAGAGAAAAACTTTTTTTGCACAAACTTTTCTCAAATCTGTCCTTTGTTGACAAATTTGTTTTGATTTTTTTTTGTGAAAATTGTCGACAAAAAAATATTTTCTTTGGTTAAAATCAAAATCACGCGAATTTAAGACCCATTTCTGGACGAAACTCTAAGGTAATGATGAATAATAAATCTGGGAATCTGTAGTGTATATTATTTCAATCTCATTTCAGAATAGAGGCGTCAAAAAGTTGCAAGAATTCAAGAGAAGTGAAGAATTAGTGGAGGAGATGCGAAAGCTCAAATAAGGGGAAAGAAATCATCTAGGTATCAATGCAACAGGAGGCTGCGACAGCTGGGATGGCGATCAATGAATGAAATGTGTAAAATAATTAAAAAATAAATATTTTATACCATTGAAAAAATAAGCTTGATATAATATTACTTTCGTAAGCTTATTCTGCAATTACAAGAATAAGCTTATGAATAAGGGTTCCCTTTCGATTATTCTATAATTGTTAAACAAGCATTTCTCAATACATTCTCAAGATTTTCTCAAGCTTAAGGCTTATTTTTGAAAGCTTATTAAAATATTATTCTCAAGTCAATTTGGTATGTTGGGATATGATTTTAATTTTTTTTTTTATTTTTCTGGCTTAATATGTCAACTTCATTTTTTTATGTGTGTGTATTATTTTCAATAATAAAAAAATTGTTCATAAAATATTCAAATTCGGGTGTTTTCAAAATGCTTATTGCGACGTATGCATCGACAAAATCTACAGTTTTTGTAGCGAAATAAACCATAAGAGATATATAGAACATGATTTTGAAAAGAAATTTTGACCTTTCATTCAGTTTTTGCGGTTTTAAATTATTTATTCAAAATCAATGCAACAAGTTGTTTGTTTTTATATTGTTTTGATAGTAATTCTGACATTACAAGCCAAACAGGTAGACCTCTATACTTGGGATTTTCTCAAAGTTAGCCTACCTTGTATTCATTGTACCATGGGTATGACCAATTTAAAAAAGAGATTTAATCTTTCTTTCTAAATACATTGGCAAATACAAGGCAAATTGTGTCATAAACCATTACAATATTTAAAAAAATCCGGTGGATAATGTAGCTAAAATCATCAAAATAGCGAATATTGGGAGGTATGGTTATATCGGGGGTCCTGGACCTGCATAGACAATTTATGGCACAGGAACTTCAAATACGGAATTTCAAACAATTTCGATGAATATTGTACCTAAAATCGTCAAAATATCGAATATAGGGAGATACTGATATATGTGACCCATACGAAGACCCGGACCTGCAAAGGCAAATTTTGTCATAAATTATTAGAATATTCTAATAGAAGCTTGAAAAACGAGGTGGAAAATGTAGCTAAAATCATCAAAATACCGAATGGGTATCATTATATAGGGGTCCTGGATCTGCATAGACAATTTTCTGTCATAATATGTAATAACTATTAGGAACTTCAAACACGAAATTTCAAACAATTTCAATGAATGTTGTACCTAAAATCGTCAAAATACTGAATATAGGGAGATACTGATATATTGGGCCTATACGAAGACCTGGACCTGCAAATGCAACTTTTGTCACAAACCATTAGAATATTCTAATACGAAACTTGAAAAAAATCCGGTGGGTAATGTAGTTAAAATCATCAAAATACCGAACAAACATATTTCTGTCACAGGCTGCAGTAACTATTAGGAACTCTAATACGAAATTTCAAACAATTTCGATGTACTTAAAATCGTCAAAATACCGAATATAGTGAGATACTAAGACCTGGACTGCAAAGGCAACTTTTGTCATAAACCATTACAGTATTCTTATACGAAGCTTCAAAATGGTGGATAATGTAGCTAAAACATTAAAATACCGAATATAGGGAGGTACCGTTATATCGGGGATCCTGGATCTGCATAGACAATTTTATGTCACAGGCTGTAGTACCTATGAGGAACTTCAAATACGAAATTACAAACAATTTCGACGAATGTTGTACCTAAAATCGTCAAAATACCGAATATAGGGAGATACTGATACATAATTTTTTTTATAAATTCCACAGGAATCTGGAGTTGAAAATGTGATTTTTTCAGCGTATTGATCTATTCTCTTTGATCGTTGAGGGTGAAATGAAATGGATTACATATTGATCAGCCAATACCAGGCATATATCACTAGGTGTGTACTAAAACTTTTCATACAAATATTGCAAGAAGTTATCGAACATTCAATAAAATCTAGCAAGAAAACGGATGATTCGCGAAATTGCAAGGATTTATTGCCTTACTCAGGAAATAATCCTAATGATAATTAGCATAAACTCAGTAACTCAACTGTCAACAGTTTTGTTTTCCCCCGATGTCATTAACTGGACATGTCGATTGTCGAGTAACAAACTGTAATATTTTAAACGCCTGCTGCACGGCGAATATTTTTTTATTAATATAAAATTGTCATGTTTCAATTATACCGATGCCGATGCTTGCATTGTGAAAACGAAAACTTTACCCCCAGCATTTGAAAAACATGAAAAGGTCATTTAAACGTATCACCAATTGCTCATGTGATACATCATTGCAGCACAAAAAAAAAAAACAACTCACAATACCCATTTAAAATATTCTCCTGTTTGTAGGTGTTTCCATTAATTTCATTTCGATAATCCCCCTCTGACATCCATAGTTGATATCTCTGATAAAACAAAAACTGCACCTTGAGTTAAATCCGCACTGGCATCGTTAGTTAGTTCTGAACAAATTGATTATAACAGATCGTTGAGCACACACACCTGATTTCCAAAACCCTTGCCCAAAGAAGACGAAGAAAAAAACACTAATGTCAGAAAACATCAAAAACTCATTTCCAATCGTTGTCCACTGAAGACAAACCGCCCGACCGACTGAGCCGAATGGATGGATATGTGACACTGACGAAAACAGAATAACATGCACATGGCAAAACAAAAACAACAAAATTGCAATATCATCATCATACCTGGCATTGCCTGTCTCATATTCAAAATCGATGAAAATAGCACAACCTCGCACCCCGCAAGGTTCCCGCTCGGAGGTTTTTATCATATCAGCGGCTATACGTGGCGTTAGATCCCATGGCAATGAGACTTCAGTGCATGACAAATGACGACTTTTTGCCGCACGTAATTCCGACTGCAAGCGTTGTGAAAGTTCATTAACAGCAGCTGCATCAATATCGTCATGTCCTCCAATGCATAATGTTCGGTGGCCTCAGTGGGTGTGGAGAGATTCGATGAGGCTGGCGATGCTGAAAATCCGCCCGCAAAAACATTGCTGTTGTTGCTTGTTGTGGTGGTGGGATAGTGGTGGTGATATGATGCTGTTGTAGCTCCTCTGGCAACAACTGATGGCATTGCTCCTACTGCTGCTGCTGTGGCTGTAGCTGATGCCGAAGCGGTGCTACTCGAAGCACAATAAAGAAGATTATTGTTGTACGAATAGTGAGCACCACTTGGTGTCTCAATGACGCCTTTTGGTGGCGAAGTCGCAGTAGCCGTTTCCATTGCAAATGGATGTGTCTGCTGATGGCCAAAATGTGTGGAGGCACCCGCACTGCCGTCCGGGGACTGGACAAAGAAATGAGAATTCTGTTGTGGTTTGATACCATCAACCACATCAAAGTGTTCCTCAATGGGGCTCTGACAAAATTGATTGTGATGACTGTATGTGTCGGTGGTTGGGGTGTTGGTCGTTGATGGAGGTGTCAGTGAACTAGTCCAGTCTGAAATGGAAACAATAAAATAAAATGATTAGCATTGTACGGAATTTCTTTTGATTTACAAAAGTAACAAAGATTTCTAGATTTCTAAAATTATTGAACATGTGCTTTATTTTACAGAAGTAGTTTAACTCCTTCCGTTTTAGGTACGGAATTTATCCCATTCTGCTATCGTTTTGTTTAACAACTATGCAGCTCAACGCCAAGTATCAGCTGGCAACTAAATGACCCGGAGACGGAAACAGCTGATTTCACAATAAAATGAAGAAAAAAGTTCCTACAAAGAACTTTTTTTCCTGTAGTCAACTCAAAAGATACAAAGTTTAGTCGAAAGTTACTCCACAATGAGTGATGATAGAAATAAAATTAAAGAGACTAAAAATGTGTTCTCTTTTACTCGAGAGACTAAATATAACTTGGTTGTGTCTTTCTTCGTTATGCCTTCTATTTCTAACGGTTATTAAGAATTACAACTCACATGAGTGGAATTTGTTCATGTCTCAGTGTTTACTCAGTGAGAGTATCAAAACCGTTTACCGTTGTCTTGAGTATATTTCTCTCTCTCTCTCTGTATTATTTTCAGCTGATGTGTTCAAATTTGCAGATATGAAAGAGATAACATTGGGAAATAAAACATTTCATTCCCATGTAACTAACTATGACTACAGTTAGCACTATTCAAACGCGTTGCATTTTCCTAATGTAAAAAAAAACAAGAATTTTTTACAATTTTGTACGAAGAAACTTGGGAAAGCTTTACGCCTCATAGCGACGCTAGGGCAAATGATAAATCCACAAATTCTATTTGAATCATTTACTAGACAGTCAACACACAGAAACATGATGGGCAGATTGACAAAAGAAACCATGGTCCGGCCACAAGTGACAGGGAGAAACAAAGTAATTTACGTTATTGTAATTTTTTGTTTTTTCTTTATATTAACGTATGCGGGTGAAAATGTACCAAAAAATAAATTTATTTAAATTGAAGCGAAACATTTTATATTAGCTGCTGAAGAAAAGTGTTGAAATTTAAAACTAGTAATATCTTCATTAATTCACTTCTTGCTAGACCTATAGTCGCTCTCACCCAAAAAATTAGACATAGGTATTTCTATACACTCCACCTTGAAAAGGAGGGTGTATTAACTTTGTCATTCCGATTGTAACAACCCTAAATATTCGTCGTAGACCCCATAAAGTATATATATTTATAATCAGCATAAAATTATATTTATATATTTATATTTATAATCAGCATAAATTTAAGGGTGTCCGTCCGTTGAAATCACGGTACAGCCCATACATTGTTTGACGTAGAGCGTCAAAATTTAGCAGAACAATTTGTATTGTGTCTAGGATGGTTGGTATTGAAAATGAGATATATCGGTCCACGTTTTGGTATAGTCCCCATAAAACGGTACCTCTCTATATTCGATATTTTCCAAAAAATGTTATTAGTAGTTCATAATGGATTCTAGACCGGTGGCAGATCATTGAATATTTAGTTCCACATTTTCCTATAGCGTACGTATAACGATACGCCCCGATATGCGGTATTTTGATAATCCTTGTCCTATTTACCCACGAAATTGTTACATATTTTGTATTTTAGAAGATTTGATAGATGGCAATCCTTGAAGTATAAAATTGTCCATAGAGGTTCCCGTTTTAGTATGGCACCATGTAACGGCCTCATTCGCTTTATGGTTGTTTTTGGTAAGTTTAACTGCACTATTCAAACGTTCTTACTGGTATATTAAGTTTAAAGTGAAACACGATTGAATTCAGAAGCTTTTATATAAAATGTTTCCTTTACCCTAAGTTGGAGGGTATTAAAAGTTCGCCCCTAAAAAGTGACGCTATTAAAATTGTGTTTGTAAAGGGTTATCAGTACTGCCTTAGAACATTGCAGTTACTGCTCAAACACCCAGCTGACAACAGCTGTAAAATCAGCCGTTAGTTAAACATTTTGCTGGTAGTCACGTATGCATGCACCAACAACAAAGCTTCTCTTTCATTTTATATCTACCTACCATCTTATGTTTCTTATGGTGTTCGGTGTCGCTAGCCGGTTGCAATTTTTCTTGTGCTAATTTTTTCGTATATTCTTTTTAGCTGTGTCAGCCAGTGACGTTGACAATTTCTCATGTGTCAAATGTCCACAGTGGACAGCAAAAAATATAATAGTGATTATGAAGAATAATCGAAATAACTAGACTACATTCTTATACAATAGTTCCCAAAGCTCAGGCAAGGTTGTAAAAAGATACAGTGATAAAATGCTTTCGCACAATTATACCTACAGCGATGTAAATATAAACAAGTAAAACAGGTGTAAGTTCGGCCGAGTCGAACTTTGAATAACCTCCACCGAACGAACTTGACAATAAATAAAAATAAACAAAAATAAAAAAATAAATAATAATAATAATAAAATAAGAATAGAAAATAAAATAAAATCCGTTGGAAATTCTGTTAAAAAATACCGAATGTAGACGTCAAAAGCCATTACAATACTGAAATGCGAAACTTGAAAAAAAAAAATCGCTGAATAAATACAGAATATAGGGAGGTACCATTATATGGGGGCTATACCAAAACGTGGATCTGCACAGGCAATTTTCTGTCATAAGCTTTAGTTATCATTACGAACTTCAAATACTAAATTTGAAACAATTCTGGTAAATAATGTTGCAAAACCATCAAAATACCGAATATCGGGAAGTACCGTAGTATTGGGGCTATACGAAAACGTGGACCTTTATAGACAATTTTCTGTCATAGCATGTAGTATCCATTACGAACTCCAAATACCAAATTTGAAACAATTCCAGTGAATAATGTCGCTAAAATCATCAAAATACCGAATATCGGAAAGTACCGTAGTATGGGGGCTATACGAAAACGTGGACCTGAACAGACAATTTTCTGTCTTAGGCTGTAGTATCCATTTCGAACTTCAAATACCAAATTTGAAACAATTCCGGTGAATAATGTCGCTAAAATCATCAAAATACCGAATATCGGAAAGTACCGTAGTATGGGGGCTATACGAAGACGTGGACCTTTTCTGTCATAGGATGTAGTATCCATTACGAACTCCAAATACCAAATTTGAAACAATTTCAGTGAATAATGTCGCTAAAATCATCAAAATACCGAATATCGGAAAGAACCGTAGTATGGGGGCTATACGAAAACGTGGACCGGCAGAGACAATTTTCTGTCTTAGGCTGTAGTATCCATTTCGAACTTCAAATACCAAATTTGAAACAATTCCGGTGAAGATGTGGACCTGCACAGACAATTTCCTGTCATAGGCTGTAGCATCCATCAAATACCAAAATTTAAAGAATACCGGTGAATAATGTCGCTGAAATCAACAAAGTACCGAATATCGCGAGGAACCGGTATATGGGGGCAATACGAAGACATGGACCTGCACAACCAATTTTCTGTCTTAGGCTGTAATATCTATTTCGAACTTCAAATACTAAATTTGAAACAGTTTCGATGAATATTGTATCTAAAATCATCAAAATACCGAATATCGGGAGGTTCCGTTGTATGGGGGCTATACGAAGACGTGAACCTGCACAGACATCTTTCTTCCATAGACTGTAGTATCCATTACGAACTTCAAATACCAAATTTGAAACCATTCCGGTGAATAATGTCGTAAAAATCATCAAAATACCGAATATCGGGAGGTACCGTTATATGGGGGCTATACGAAGACGTGGACCTGCACCGACAATTTTCTGTCTAAGGCTGTAGTATTCGTTATGAACTTCAAATACAAAATTGTAAACAATTTCGGTGAATAATGTCGCTTAAAACACCATAATTTCTAATATCGGTAGGTTCCATTATATGGGGGCTATAGCAAAACGTGGACCTACAAGGCCCATTTTCAATACCAAAAGTAAGAGCACCATAGACATATATGTAAGCCCATAGACATATATGTAATATGTAGGTCGGATGTGCCGAAAAAACAGGATAAGTAATATGTAGGTCGGATGTGCAAAAATGCGACCAACTTCAGACTGCTGTCATTTCGAAGCCACTCGTCCGACAGCTGTTAAAATTATTCCAGTGACAGCTTATTATATTTTTTACAAGCGTACAAAAGCATTTTGGTGAGAGTTTTCAAGAAAAAAAAACTATTCGTGATGGAATTCAAGCGTTATTGTGTGATTTCTTTAAACCACAAGTGGCTATCGTTAGAGCACTCCAGAATTTGAATGTGAGTAAATCTTTTGTGTCTCGTACCATCCGAACTGTTAATACCCTCCACCTTAGGGTAAAGGAAACATTGGAACCCATTATGACCCACAAATACCAATTTTTTGACATATTCGTGGGAAAATGTGGCAAAAATCATCAAAATACCAAAAATCGGGAGGTACCGTTATATGGGGGCTATACCAAAGCGTGGACCATATAAACACCACACGAACTAGGACCCATTATAACCTACAAATACCAATTTTCAGACAAATCCGTGAAAAAATATCGCAAAAATCATGAAAATACCGAATATCTGGAGGTACCGTTGTATGGAAGCTATACCAGAACGTGGACCTATAAATACAATGTTTCGTCATGACGAATTTTTTGGGATGTTACAAACGGAATGACAAAGTTAATTTCAAATGTGGAGGGTATAATAACACAGACTCCGTGTAAATTATTCTTAATGGTCCATATTATGATATTTTAACTAAAACACTTTATTCTAGCTAACTACATTTTTATGAATAGGAATTTTTTAAAAGT